TTGTGTACCTCGCAGCATTAATGTCCACACATTAAAGCCTCCTCTTAGACAAAGACTGGCTTCTCTGTGCTGCCTCCAAACTCCAATCAAGAGTCGACTTATTTTTGATCTTGAACTGCTTGTATATCCCACCATTAGTTGGAAAGAACGTAATTTGGAACAAACCATCAGCCCAAAATAAACTTGGGAATGGCTCCAAGCTAAAGAACAGCAGTAACAGCAGCTTAAGTAGCCCAGATTACTGGTTGTTCAACATATTTTGAGAAAGCAGCTGGTGATAATGCATAGCTACAACACACAGACGATTGTCTGTAAAGCTCTGCGTAGGACAACCACGCAGGTCGCTCCCAATGCCGACTGCCACTGCACTGAACACAGGTCTCGCTCACCTCCTGCCCCGTGTACCAGGTTTGCCTCCCTGTGACTTTAGTTCCAGTTTTGGGAAATGCACAAAGTTGAAGGATCAGTGTTCTGATGCAGTGGAGGACATCCAGCTCACATTACAGAGCCACAAGTACACACGGACGTAACAGGCCCTTCTGTAAAAAGCAGCTACACTGAAAACAGTCTGAGAACTCAAGTCTGATCTGATTAGAGATCAGCTGAAGATAAAATCAGGTGAGGCTTTTGATATTCAGGTATCTGCTCTCAGAACTTTCTGATCACCCCTCGTGTACACACTAATACATTTATCATGTTTGATTCAGCGCACAATGACTTCACTCTTACTTTGAAAGTCCGGGTCAACCAGGTCAGGTTGCTGCTGTGGCATAGAGTTGTCTCAGGTTTTATTCCCTGCTTATTCTAACTGAAACTCCACCTTCTGGGATTGCAGCTGCAGCAGACCTTGTGGTGGCACCACTTCTCCACCCGCTGCAGGTTCTACATGTGGGGCTGACCTCCAGCTTGACAGAACAAGGACTAGCATCACCAGCTGCACTGGAGATGGTGGAGGAGTACGTCCATGAAATGAAGACCCTACTACAGCAGCAGCTGATTGGTGCTCCACTATTTATTATCACTAATTAAAAACGGTATCATTTACTAACTAATTTAACAAATTGTTTAACATCTACACGCAGATCCTGCCTCACCATCGCAACAAAAATGATCCAATTCTCTGGGAAACACATATTTGTTATATGGATGTCAAATTCTCAACTATGCAATCACTGATTTTAGTTTTTCTTTAATGTGCAAATCTAAACGCTTCAGCTCACCTCACTGCTGACAGAGCTGTCGCTACATTTAGCCACTTTTCTGACCCTTTTTGCTTCGTCTTTCCTAAAAAGACTGAGCTAAAAGTCTATACACTCTCTGAAGCCTCTATACTGAGGCTTCAGAGAGTGACAGACGTGCTGCGGCTTTTAGATTCTGTCAGTATAAAGTACCTTGAGGCCCCTGATACTGCGATATGGCGCTCTACAAATAAAACTGTATTAAATTGACTGCAGAAGACAGAAAACTATTCAGGAGAGTCCCAGTTTAATATTCCCACAACTTGAACCAAACATAACATTACTGTAAGTCTTCCGAAATGACCAGTTCTCACATTTTTATCTCCTAAATCAGATTTTTGCTTTTCTTTTCATGTGCTCATGACTAAAACTCTGCTTGGCTACTGTCTGTTCACCTGCAGTGGGTGAGGGTCTCGAGTGCTGTTCTTTGCCAGGCTGATCATCTCTTTGATCTGGACAAAGGCGAAGGCAATGGTGACCCAGGGGGCACCGGAAAGCATCCAAGCCGGTCTGTTCGGGTCCTCCTGATCCTCCTGATGTTTAGTCTTCCTTACTGGCAACAAGGGAGCCTGTCGCACTGGGGCCGGGCTGCCGTCGGGTGCGTGACTCTGCACCAGGTCGATGGTGGCGATCGGGACTGGACTGGAGGGCACAGGGATGTTCTCTGCTAGCATTTTGTCCTCTGGAAGAAGGTGCAGAGGGAAGAAACACGAAACGACGGGCACAAAAATATAGATTTTAAGGATCTGAATGTGTATCATGTCACAGCAAAAGCATCAGTTAAAACAGTTTGTTCTGCTAATCTAGAGCAGGGTATTCCAGACATACTTTTCCAGTTTTTCCTCCACCTCTCTTGGTCACTCTCCAGAGCTCATGAACACCGGTGAGGGTTATAATGTAGACCTACTGGTAAATCAGGAGCTTTCCTCTCGATCAAAGCCCTCTCATTACCACATTATCTGTAAAACTGCACCAATCCACGTCACTCATGAACATCCTGACACACTTAGACCCAACCCCAAGGGACAAACCCAGCAAAAGCAGTGGAAACATGACCAGCTGTGATTCAACATCCGGCTCAAAATATCAACAGGAAGCACAGCTTTTGTTTACTGCAGATCACATAGTTTCAGCTTTAATTTTTAAGCTGCTCCTTTATCCACAAGGGGCTAAGGTCAAGGCGTTAGTGTTTCCTCCTGGGATCAAACCAGGAATCTTTCACTTGTTAGGCAAATCTGTACACCTCAACACTATGGAGCTACTTTTCATCGATTTCCTTTTAGAAGGTGATTATTATGCTGTGTTCTTACACTTCTTATTAGACAAGATTAGTTAATGCTTTAGTTTTCTAAATATTGCAGACACTATAAACCTGCAATCTACTTAGTGACATACAAAACAAGCCTAATGTGCATATCTGCGATCTTGTTTATTTGTATGCATTTTTCCCACCTTTGCCTTCAGTGTCTCCGGTCAGACACTGGATGAAGGAGAAGATGAGGAGGATGACGAGGGAGGCCATGCCGATTCCTCTGAACGTCTCTGCAGCACCTGCAAAGCAAACAGAGAAACCATTAGCAAGGCAAACTCATATTTTTCCTGTGTTTCCTACCCTAAAGCAGCTCAAATAAACCACTTACACTACACCGGTACTGCATTTAAACATTAGCCAGTGTGCTGCAAGGCAATTTCCGCCTCACGTGCTCGTTTCATACCAAAATAATTGACGAATACTCCTCCGACCATGGCTCCGCAGCCGCGACCCAGCCCGAGGTGCAGCCCCTGCAGAATTCCCTGCGCCGACGTCCTGAGAGCCGGCGGGACCGCGGCGCTCAGGAAGGAGATACAAGCTGCCCAAACTGAGGCATGGGTCACACCTGGAGGACAAACAGGGACATACAGAGGGTCACAGCTGAATCTGGATCTAAATAAACTCAAGCATCCTGATGTAATCAATTAACTCCAACATCTCAGCTTTAGAGTCATTACATCAGCAGCATGTGTTGAACAAAAACAGGCAGAGCCTCTGAAATTATTATGTTTTTTAACAATTGGCCAGATTTTCAACTTAAAAACACTTTCAGTCGAAAAAACGTTTGCTTAAACATTTCATCACAACATTTAAAGTCAATGTCATGAAGTGTGGATAACTTTCATTAGTGGACTATAGGGCACATTTGAAAAGCACAGATGCAGAATTTAAACTATATTAAAGCTATTAACACCCCTATTAGCAGCATTCATATTAGCAGACCTGCATGAGTGTATGATATTAAACATGCAGAGTGTTGCCTCTATAATGCATTTGTGTACCTCGCAGCATTAATGTCCACACATTAAAGCCTCCTCTTAGACAAAGATTGGCTTCTCTGTGCTGCCTCCAAACTCCAATCAAGAGTCAATAACCTGCAGATATTGACTGCTGCATTCCTTCTTATTTATTTTTCTATTGTTATCTATTATCTAAATCTATTTCTAATTCACCTTTTTCTTCCTGGCCCTTGAGTAAGTGAATTGCTCTACTGTGGAATTAAAATAAAGTCTATGAAAATTTGGCTTTTCATGCATTGCAAGGTCAAATATCACAAGTTAAATTATTTGTCCTTACTGACACTGCCAAGTGTCAACCATTTGTGGACTCTGGAGAATAAATAAATGCTGACATATATGTTTAATTAACCTGCAGTGACAGTTTTATTTCTTCACCTCAGCTCAGCTTCCTCTCTGCAGACCAGCTAATCGCATCGAGGTAAAAAGCAGGCTGCCTCAGCCCTCCCTGTTTTTACACCGCATGTGTTGCAAATGCTAAATATACTTTTAGACTTTTTGAAATTGTGTCATACTCAGCGTAACGCTGGACCAACAGGTGGAGCACTCAGAACTGAAGCCCCGATGCAGCTTTCATGCGTTTATTCTGCGAGGCTTAGGTGTTTTCTCAGGGCGGATGTCTCATGCAAACCAGTGAGCCACAGAGAGCAGCTGTTCACTGCTCAAGTCTTCACTGTAGTTTTATTGTATACACTGCATTTCTCACCTTACTTTGCATTGCTTAAATAAAGTCAAAGATAAATTAGAAATACAGTGTTAATAATCTGGGATGCCAATTCATATGGTGTGATGGGAATATAAATATAAAAAAATATCAAATTAATATATAATAAAAATATTTTAATATTGAATAGAATATATATAACTATTAAAAACAGAAAATTAAAAAACATAAAAACACAAAATAAAAAATACAATTTAAATAATTATATTTACAAAAATACAAATAAAAAATGGAAAAAACTTAAATAAAAATACAAAATGTATATCTAGTAAAAAAAATGTTTTAAATGTATGCATAAATCCGTGTTGCTGCTAACTGTGGCTTTAGTTTCCACTAACTGTGAATCTGAAACTGAACTGACTGAGTGAAGACTGAAAAGCTCATTAAAGTGAACATCAGAAAGACTGAAGACAGATTACTGCTAAGTGTTCTGTAAACCGCAGCAGCTCCCGAACAGGAAACAAACCGCTCATAAACAGAACCTATGACATAATATAATCAGTCTTTTCCTTTTTAAAACTGATCAGCCCTGTTTTGAGAAAGCTGCTGCTTGCACAGAAAAGCCAGCGTTCATTATCCGGGCTGAAAAAAGTGACACATGGTTTGCAAGTTTGCATTCGACTGATTTGTGACTCCGAGAAAGAGGACTTTTTCTGTTATTTTCAAGTCCGGCAGCGCCCTGCACTTGTGCTTTCTGACAACACCTCTGTTGATATCCTCTCTGTATGTTGCAATGCTGCTACAATAAAGGAAATAACACAGAGCAATACAGATCGTGCAGTTGAGAATCGGGGCCGTTTCCCTTCCCTTCAGTTTTTTTCTCGTACTTTACAGCTTTCTGTCATCTGCTGCAGCCCTGACAGCCTTCTGCTAACCAGCGATACTGTAGGAAGAGAAACGCTGTCTGATAAGGCGCCATGCTGGACAAACAAAGCCATTTCCTGGCCTGCCCTGTCCTCTGGGTCCTGAAGTCCTAATACTCCCTGCAGACACAGACAGAGAAAGGGTTACCTTGAAGGATCTCCATGGGCAGGACGATCCAGGCGTTCTCCAGGTAGGAGATGTACAGGTAGCGAGCTGTGTTGCAGGCCAGCCCGATGTACAGCACTCTAAGGAAGGAAAGAGAAGAAGCATGAGACTTGTTGCAATGAATTACCAACTCAATTCTGAGCTGTTGTTTCTTTGCTTTAGTGATGTTTGGTAAGACTGATATGGATTTTTAAATCCTAATAACATCTTTCCAAGGACTGAAGAAATGTCTTCAACTGTTTCTATCCTGTAAGCATCCCGATTCTTAGTTTTACTGGAAGTATGACCATTAGGATGAACTGGTTGTGATAAGGCCACACCTTCAGTCAGTATAATCGTTCATCATTTGAATCTTTGTTTAAGCTTTGTTCTTTTTTTTTCCACGTCAGCAAAGACAACAAATTCATCCTGTAACTAAAAATGAGCAACAGTTCGTCTGGATCTGCTTGCCTTTCTTCTTAAACCCAAACCTGCTGCAGTTTGGGTATCAGACAAAAATAATTTGTCCTATTTAACTGTTTCTTTATTGCAATAAATATTGAAGTTATGATCCAATGGTACAGAGCATAAATGCTGAAAAACTGACAAACACTCAAGCTGGTAAAAAGTCTTTAAAGTCAGCTGACTGAATTATCCTGGTGGTTTTTTGTTGCTACAAAAACAGGAAAAAGTATTTTAGTTATACGAGCCTGTATTTAACTGGTCGCCTCATTAATCTTTCTGTTCTTCTTCTGTGGTGCTGTTCGTACCCATCAAGCAGGCTTTGTGCTGCTATTTCGAGAACAATACAGCACACACGCACCGAGTTCATCGCGCTCATCACCGGGATTATTTTAACGTTTGCTCATCAGCTGAAGCGTTACTGAACACACAGACACACTCTGTTCTCTGGGTGTGTGAACACTGAGCTCGACAAGCTCTCTCGCTGAAAACAACGTTACAGGGAAAGGTCGTGTTGTCAGCATTTCCCAAAGATAATAACAACGAATGAGAGCTGTTAGGCCTCAGCCACACAGGCCTAGAGATTGGACCGTCAGTCCTGGCAACCTCTGGCTGATGGGGAAAAATGTGTATCCCCAAACTGGTTGGCCACCTTTATTATGAAACTAGTTATAAAGTTTGCATGTTCTCCCCCGTGTTTGCGTGGGTTCTCTCCAGGTACTCCGGCTTCCTCCCACCGTCCAAAGACTTGCACTTAGTGGGGATAGGTTAATTGATTAATCCAAATTGCCCATAGGTGTGAATGTGCGAGTGAATGTGAGTGCGAATGGTTGTCTGTCCCTGTGTGTTGGCCCTGCGACAGACTGGCGACCTGTCCAGGGTGTACCCCGCCTCTCGCCCTATGACAGCTGGGATAGGCTCAAGCGCCCCCCGCGACCCTGAAAAGGATAAGCAGACGCGAATGGATGGATGGATGGTTATAAAGAGCGCGCTGCACCAAAAATCTTGTTTCGATTGCTTTGGTTACGTGGATGACACCAAATAGTCTGCATTTCAAAAACATTTCAAAGGGGCACAACTCCTTGTATGGGTCGCTTCATACTTCTCACAGCTTCACGACCGCTTAGAGAGTAGCTGGCAAGTTTTTGCAGACAAGTCGGCATCTTCCATGCAAACCACAGGCAACCACAGTAAAGCAATTACAAAGAGGTTTTTGTTGCAGCACCCTCTTTGCGCCCAATATCAGCATTTCCTTCTCTCTCTCCCTCTCATATTTTAAAGAGTATTCAAATGAAGAAGTATGAATTAAGTTGTGATGATGTTTCAGGCTGCCTTGTTGTCTGATAATGATCTAAACCTCCAAAATATTTCAAGTGTTACAACAAAGCACAGAACAGAAACTTTAAAAATAACAACATTAAATACATAAAGCTAATATGTCTGATTTGGTGTGGTGGGAAACTGCGATAATCCTCACAAGAAAGTACATCTTTAGATTCTGGACATTGCGAGTTCAGTCCGTCCTCTAAGATGGACTCCATTAAGTGCTAAACTGAGCCCATCTGAGCAGTAGCAGATGGTCTCTCTGTGCTAACAGGTCGGTTTAAAAGGGTCAACACATTAAACCTTCAGCCCGAGGTCACTTATTGACGTGCTCTCATCGGTTAAAATGAAAGCAAGTGACCACCAGAGAGGAAGCTGCTGCTCAGACGTTGCAGTGAAGCAGGAAGTGTGCTTACTAGACAGAGTCACATCCTGAAAACACAGGAAGATGAAGAGCGTGTTTGCATGAGACTGAATATACACACACAGAGTCACTAATGCAGATTAAGAGGAAACAGACAGCCTGTGGGCCTGTAAAGGCTGTAACTGTCTTCTGTGAAAAGGTGCTTTCAAAAACAGGTGAAATGTTCTCATTGCTTTAAAATTTCTAAAGGTTTCAATGCATATGAACAGAAAGGAGCTACTGTTAATATATTTAACCTGTGTGTCTGGATTTTACACATAATGAAATAATGACACAGCAAGCTGCTTTTGATTGGCTAAAATGAAACATGGAAAATGGTATTAGGCTTCACAGCTTCAAGAAGCAAAGATGACTTCCAAAAACATTTCTGCTAATGCTTCTAGTCACTTAAAAATCTACCATCAGCTCTGAAAGTAAACTAAAAGTCCCCAGTGTGATCACAGAGAAAGTTAAGGTCTGTCACGTCAACGCAGCCGTATGGTGGCGAGGAGAAGTTCCCAAGGCGCCAATTCTGGAAAGTGCTTACAAGCGTGGACATCTGTCATAGGACTGTATGAAGGAGGAAGATGCTGATCTGATCTGAGGAATGAGTTGGATCAGAAAAATGACAAACCGACCCTCAAACAGCTGAAGCTCTCCCTCTCTATCAGCTTCCTACTCCTCGTCTCATGTTGATGTAAAAATTTGAAAACTATTGCTCTACAACATTTAAAATCTGAGATAGCGAGCAGCTGGATGGTTTTTCATCCTATTGTTGCTTTTTTCCCTGTTTGTTGACATTTATGGCGGTGATGTGCCCGATTTGTCTGTCCGAGGCACTGAAATCAAATAGCTTCTGATCTGTGTCCGTGTGAAAATCCCCACTGATGTCTTGCATAAGCACCTCTTCATAGTGAGCATTCCTGTTCAGTTTATTTATATTTTTGCTTCTACTTTAAAGTTAAATCAGTCTAAATATTCCCCAGTTTTAATCTTCTAACTCCCAGTGGAGTAACAAAGACATTACTACTTTCATGCCCTGTGTTTTACTCATGTACTAACTTATATTACATGCTGTATTTTTGTTATTCTAAATAAAGGAAAAGTGAAATGTGTGTAGTTTAAGATAATCAGCAGCCTTGAGGGGAATAGAAATACTCTGAAACATTATGAATAAAAGTTTCGTTGCTAACTGGAGGTCTGGTAACCACAGTCAGTCATGTCAGTTAGAGTCCCACTATTTTCACTTTTTGCCAGTGAACACGTGAGTAAATTCTTCTCTTTTGAGGCCTCTAAAAGTAAAACAGAAAGTACTCCACGTCTGACACCAGAGAAACGGTGCTCATCATTCATTATTCAGTTACATTATAGACCTTGTCTAGCTTCTACGACTGCCTCATTTTGTCTGAGTAATTGCTGCATGCTCCCAACTATCAGTGGCTTCGTACGAGGCTTTTGATTAATGCGAGGAACAGAAATAATAAATACACCTGCTGGGCATGCTGATAAGTACTTCAGCTAAATTTGCTCCATCTTCACCTTGCGTAGACTTGAGAGCTCTTTGAAAGTCAACAGCATAGATGGATCTGTGAAATCTAACCCCTTGTTCTCAGATGTCGAAGCTACCCGAAGGGTCCGACCCTGAATTCAATGGCCGCATTGTCCCAAAGAGGAGCGCTCACTTGTCACGGCTCTGACACCAAACACAGCGAGGCGATGACTGAACTGTTTGGACCCACCATTAATGCTATGAATGCACAGTTTAAACGGTTGATCAAGAGTTTTTGCTTTTAAAAAGTCTTTAAAGAAAGCATGGAAGTTGTTTTTGGTCATTTATTTGAGAAGATGGATTTTTTTTTTTAAACAGCTTACAGATTTCTTTGATTTAATGGTGGAAGAGTTAGATCAGAGGCAGCTGAACACGAGGAAAAAGGAACTCATGCTCCAGCAATGGTAATACAGATGAACTGGCTCTTTAAATAGCCCAGAAGGAGAGATAGTACTGTGTATCTAAGGGGGAACATCACCTATGTGAAACCTAACAGCATGATAATAAATAATTAGTAAACAATTCATTACTTCATTAGTTAATTACCAGATGTTTCTGTCTTGGTTCCCATGATTATCAAAAACAAAAATATTTGGGACAAAAAAAGTCAGAAAAAAGTTCAAAGTAAACGTGATCTCCAAGCAGCCTTAACCTCCTCAGACCTGGCGGCCACATATGTGGACATCACATTTTGGGTTGTGTAGACCAAAATACGAAATTTTGCTCTACAATAATAATAATAATAATAATAATAATAATAATAATAATGGATTGGATTTATATAGCGCTTTTCAAGGCACCCAAAGCGCTATTCATTCACTCTCACATTCACACACTGGTGGAGGCAAGCTACACTTGTAGCCACAGCTGCCCTGGGGCAGACTGACAGAAGCGAGGCTGCCATATCGCGCCATCGGCCCCTCTGGCCAACACCAGTAGGCGGTAGGGTAAAGTGTCTTGCCCAAGGACACAACGACTAAGACAGAGAGCCCAGGGATCGAACCGGCGACCTTCCGGTTACAGATGCGCTTGCCTGAGCCACGGTCGCCCTACAAGGGCCTGATATCCACTTACGAGGACATTATACTGCCACTGTTCTATCAAAATTATAACGAATGTCTTCATATGTGGATCTCATTTATTTTAGGTTAAAAAAAAAAAAAAAGATCTGCTAATTCTTTGTTTTTACATTCATCAGGTCCCAATCAGCCCAAATAGCAAAGAAAAATTAAAGCATGCCATGAATGAGTTTGGGTCTTAGGATGTTAAGGAATATCAACACAGGAAGCAGCTAGCAGCAACATACAACAGAAAATGTCAATGACAACAAGCCACACAACCACTGACGACGCAAAGTGTGCGAAACCTTTTAAAATTTTTAAGCAAGCGACTAAAGAACCACCAATGAAAGTGAAGGATACACTGGCAGTGAGAGAGTGGTATTACGGTTAGCCAGGCAAGTGGAACCTGGGATGCTCTTTAGCGACCAGCTACTAACTGATGTGTGATGAGAAAATCTCTATATGTAGGAGCAGCTTTGGTGCTTTGTAGTGTTTGTTCTTACCTGATGTGTCCCACGAGCTCGATGAACTTGTGGCTGGTGAAATACGCAGCGAGCTCTGAGATGTGGCTGAGGACGGAGCAGACCCCAAAGAGCGTGGTGGTCCCGCCCAGGTCCTCCAAGTGCCAGTACAGGAAGCTGAAGACGAAGCCGTAGCCAAAGCCCATGAACCAGGCGACAAAGAGGACGGAGCTGTAGCGCACGCTGCACAACAGCTTGAGGAGGTCACTGTAGTGGAACTCCTGGGTGGTGTTGGGGTTGCTGGGGGTCTGCTCTGAAGTGACTGACTCCCTGTCAGTGTTCGCCGAGTCCTCCACCACCTCTGGAACTTCCTGCTGGTATTCACCGCCTTTCTCAAAGTAAAACTGAGTGGCCACAATCAACGCCACACCCATCAGAACACCAAAGACAATGAAGGCGAGCTGGTAGTTGTGAAGGCGAAAATCGGGCACAGCGCAACCAGTGCCTTCAATCGCCACGGTGATATGAGTGTGGTCAATCCAGATGCCCACCAGCAGCATTGCCAGACCCCAACCCAGAGAGCCCCACATCCTCTGCAGGCCGTAGCGGTCGCGGGCTTTACCGAGATACTGCAGGGTCACCGTGTCCACGATGGTGACGGCGGGAGCGCTGAAGAACTCGCCCACGATGATGACAAGCAGGATGAGCAGGAAGATGGACTCCACCTGGTCCCTGTTGTAGATGATCTGGTACTTTTTCTCAGGTGCTGGAGCAGAACTGGTGGTGGTCTGCAGAGTGGTGTTTGGTACGAGCTGGGTGGTGTTTAGTAAATTAAATGGAGAGTATGTTGTGGTTATGTTGGCATCCACACTACGTTCGAGCCTGTGGAGCACGTGGGAATGCTCCACATGCAGCTCCAGTACGTTTCGCCGACTTCTGGTGTGGTTGGTGGAGTTGCTTGGTTGTGTTACGTTATCCTGAGGCTGGACCGTTACCACGGGTGGAACAGGCGTGGAGAGAGAAGCTCCCTTTTCCTCACATATCATTTCCGCAGGTTTGACAAACCCGATGCCGCAGTTGAACATTAACCAGCACAGAACGGAAAACAGCAGCACAACTTTTCCTTTCTTGAAACGGTCCGCCACTACACCCCAGAAGGGGGCGCTGCAAAATTCAATGAAGTAGCGGATGCCGACGAGCAGCCCGCTGCGGCTGGCTGACATGCCAAGCTGCTTGTAATACACGGCCAGCAGGGGGTGCAGCGAGCCGTAGGCGGCATAGAAAAAGAAATAGAAGACTTTGGAGATGAGGAGGTGGCTGTTGATGCGGAGGCACGTCCTCTCGCAGCAGTCCATGGAATTTGGCTGTGAGGCCGCCACTGCTGCCACCTGATCACGTGCCATGTCAGAGCCGGGTCCTGGTGGCGCTGTGACAGCCTCTTGCTGGGCCATGGAGAGGGTGTTGAATGGCTCAGCGAGGACATACTTCCTCTTCTGCTCCTCCTCATCATCTGTCAGGATGGCAACCTTGTCGTCGGCTGGCATATCTGGAAGATAAGGAAATGAGGGTTAGAGCAACGCCAGAGTAACCAAATGAGGCTAAATTCATCCTGTAACTACTTCACTGTGAGACATCATTAGTAGTTTTCTGCTAAAACATAAGTTATACCAGAAATCTGCTCATAACACCCAGAAATAACCTGAAAGATTAAGAGAAATGTTTTAATATTAAATATTTTTAAAACAGAAAAAGAACATTTGTGGATAACTTGTTTGACTCCGAGAGAAAACAATAAAAAGAGCAAACCTTGATCACGACATGTCTTTGTATTTCTGTGAAAGGGCAGAGTTCTCTGGAGACTTTCCAAAAACAATACTTGTCTGACTGTGGCCAAAATCAAACAACCGGTATAAATAGATCTGCCTCTGGAGGAACATTTAGGCAGTTCTGAATACTGTAGACAAGCTGCTTTAAAAAAACCATCTATTCAGAGTGGCATTATGGAATATTAATTTAAGGATTACGTCATAAACAGAGCTCCTAACCTGAACCTATGTTGGGTAATATAATCCAGATTATGGCTGCCCTCTGCCACCCCTGTACACCATCACCAGGTCCTCCTGTCTCGGGAAAGCCAGGACCATCAGAGGTAACCCCTGCACCCCACCCACCACCTGTTTGACCGGTTGCCCTTTGGTAGTCAATCAGGTCCCACACCTCCAGACTCACAAACAGCTCCTTCCCCTGAGACGTTTGGACTGTCAGCTAACACCGCACCCCATCCCTGCACACTCACCTCACCAGCCATGGTCTGAGTAGCCCTCATCATTCAGACCACTAACAAATGGACTCTATACTCAGACCAAGTCCTTCGCACTACTGCTATGCTCTTTGTTCTCTAACATGTAGTCATTTTTGATCTACACCTGGTGTCAAATACAACCAAATGGTTAAAAGCTATCAAGTAATCTGGTTCCAGATGGGACAAAAGTCTCACAGAATCTGAATTTGAAACTCTCCTGGATGTTTTCTTGATTACATAATCTATAGATTATGTAATCTATAGATTAAAAGAGTCTAGATCTAGTCTAATGTGGTCCAGGAGCCAAAAGAAAAAAAAACCCTCTTTAATCACATGTTTTGTGTTACAGACATGTCAAACTGTTTTTCAAAACATTTATTGAAACGGTTTGGTAATGAATGATTAGAACAGTACCAAGGTACATGGTACATGGTCTAGACATGGTGTCATGAGGTCTACATGATAGAAAAACTGTGAATCCAAGCATTCGGAGGTAGAATAAAAGGTTCAAATAGTCTCATTCTGTGTTTTAAATGGCCCTGACGTGTGCTAGGTAATATAATCCATACTAGAAGGGGCTAAATGTGTAGAGTATTGTCCAAATTGGTAAAAAGCAAAGAAATCATCATATTTCTGTGTCACAGTATTCACATATATTAAAACAATCTGTACACTCTCCCATGTCCAAATTAAATCAGTCTAAATGGACGAGTTCCTGGTACTATAATCCGACCTGTGTAACGTCAGTGTTTGTGGATGTACTTTGAAGGTGCTGATATTTTGTTTTTATACAAAGACGGCCAGGTTAGACTCCCTGACGGTCCCTAAGCCTTACTTTGAGGTCCACTTGTGTATCGTGACAACAATAAAACTGAAAGCTGAGCAGCAGTCACCAATACAGATATTTCAGCAAACATACGACCTCTGGAGGTCCTCAGACCTCAGTTTGTAAGCCGTCCATCTGTCAGTGATGGTCTCCGCGGAAGTGTCAGACATGTTAAACAAAACTACGGGTTATCTAAATTGTATAAAACAAACCAAAGTCGGAATGTTTAAGGGGTAATTTAAGGAAGTGCTAAGGAAGTGCTGGCGCTCATTTAAACCCGGTTAAACACAAAGGAAGTGTCTCCGAATGTCAGGATTTCTACCATGTAACCTAAATTAAACGTTTTAAACATGTATTTCACGAGACTTAATTTAAAATAAAGGACAAATTTAACGACAACGCAAACTAATGTTCTTACCTGCTCAGGTCACCGCTCCCATTAAACTATGACTGCGCAGTTTCTCTTCAATTTTCTCTCTTCTCCTGCGGACATTTTTCACAAAAACCGTTCAAACTACCGCTTTTATTTTCTGTAAAATATTTATAGTCTCCGACATAAGTTCATGTTTTAATTCGGGGGGAATTTCAGGTCTTTCTCGTCTCCGCCTGTCTTTGTATTGAGAACAACGGCAGCTCGTCAAACCGGAGCTTCCACCTGTCCAGAAAACAGAGACGCCGCGGTCAAGCCCGCCATTGGGACCTCTACGACAACAGGCCGAGACTTCCAAAATAAAGCTCATGCGTATGCGCTGCCTTATTCAGTTTTATTAAATTGTGTTTATTTTTAAATTATTGAATAGTTTGGAGTAATTCCTCTCAGAAATATAAAATAATAACCTTTAAATTAAATTTCACAATTAAATGAAAGACTGAATAAAGTTCATTTTTGTTTTTCTATAATTTACTGTTTGTTTTGTTTTTGAATTATTAAGTCTAAAAAATGTTGTAATCTGTTCAAGGAACACATAATAAAATGTTACCATAAGCACATTGGTACAGTATTTAGAAATAAGGGGAAAACAGTTTAAAATTAGAAATTAAACATTTCTTAGTGGATCTTGGGGAAGAAATTGTTTTAGAAAAGTTAACATGTTCGGTTTTAGAAAGTTGAAAAAAAACATTTGTTCATTTTATTTAACAAAAATGTTGCTACTTTTGTGTGTTTTGTGAGCCTACTTTTTTCAAAGCTGATGGCACCGTTGTGCTTTTAAGTTTTCGTCACATCCGGTAGTTGCCAGGTGTAAATTCTGGCAACTTGATACCACAAAGCGACTCCGCCTAAACGTCTCCAGTGCCTCAATTAAAGGGGAAAGTGCCATTAATCGCAGTCAAAACATACAAAAACACAGCAATAATTCATTTTTAAAGAGACACAGACAGTTCAAAATGACTGTAGGACTCCCTGAAGGCTTATTAGTCTACAACAATAAAACATTTTTCACCATAAGGAGCATTTTGCATCTTTCTTATGATCAATATCAAATTATTATCCAATAATCATACAGAAACTCTCTTGTTTAATGCACTCATGCCCAGTTTTAGAGGAGCTGTAATCAAACCTTCCTCTTTAAGAGGCTTCATATTATAATTTAGCTGTAAAGATCATGAACTGTGTAAACTGGCTCTATTGTTAAGTCAGAAATGTTCCTTCATGATCACCATCAAGTCTGAAAGGTGTCATGTCGTTTTCCATTTTTCTTTGTGACAGAAATTAATTGGTTCAAACACCGTGACAATCAATGAGATGGAAAGGACTTTATTTGTACACCTTCTTTGCTTTACAGAACAAACAGAGCAAATGCAGAAGAGCATAATTCATGCCGTATTTAACAAAGGTGTAAAGACAGGTGGGTGAGGACTGCTGGCTTTAAATACAAGAGCAATGAGAGTTCCTGGAAGGCATCATAAAGTTACATCACCAGGAAACCACACACTCCACCCAGCTGCTTGAAGTAAATAACGTCTCATGTCACACAGTCATTTTCAGAGCAGTAAAAATCTGTACCTGAGGAGCTGTAGTCATACACACTCATGATTATTGATTTAAAGATGGCCATACCAAACTTAAGGCCATACCACCGTGAGCACACCTGATTTCATCTGATCTCAGAAGCTAAACAGGGTCAGGCCTGGTTAGTACTTGGAAGGGAGCCATCTCTGATTGCTAACTCGGAGGATGTTGGTCTGCTCCAACTTTCCGAGTGGGAAATCCAAGTTGAGGGGATGTTCCACAAAAAATTTCCAATTAGGAACTTGGAATTTCTGACTTCCAACTAATTCAGGAGCCCGGTATAAGCCCCAGCACACATAAAGACCCCCGCATGGGCACCTTACAGCCAGCAGCTGCAACCATTGGAGTGAGAGTGTGTGTGCAAATGTTAGACAAGGTGCTTAGGCATAGAAAAAAGCACCTGTATGACTGTGTGGGTAGTGTGGTGAATGAGGCTTGTGGTAAGAAAACACTTTGAGTGCTTAACTAGAAAGCAGTCTATGACTACCGGTCCAAACAAATGGCAAAGGTCATGCCTCTTTGAAGAAAGGTGGATTGACTGGTACTTAAATAGTGCTTTCTACTCTATTTGGGCAGTCAAAGTGCTTTCTTAGTGAAAGCCTCATTCATGCATCCACACATGTGCTAAGCTAACAGTCAAATAGGTGCACTTCAGAGTTCAGCATCTTACCCGATCTACTTCAACATGCAGACTACAGGAACTGTGTATGGAACGGGCAACCTTCACGATTAGCTGTTAGCCCACTCTACCTTGTGACCCACAACCACTACCACAACAACAACAGTAGTAGAAAAAATGGGCTTTGTTTGGTGAAGTCCTGTGAAAGCTCCAGCAACAGGAGATTGAGGACAATTTTGTCTAGCCTTTCATGCTCTTGAAACTGCTGCAGAAAAGATAGACTGTAATGGATTATCTCTAATATAGCTGTCAGTCAACTGGACCTTTTGATTGTGCTTATGCTGTTGGTGCCTTTTGGAGCATTTTAATGCAATGATCTATTATATATATATTGCTAAATGGTTGTGGAAATCACTTATGTTCTCTGTGTGTCTGCAGGCTTACCCGCTGGCTGGTTTTTGTATAAATCTATCCTTGAGCTGGTTCCCGCTTATCTGTGTGTATACATGTGTAATCAGCAACCTTCCCTTCAGTCATAACAGACATGCTTTAAAGGGCGTTTTGGGAGTTTTTCTGGGAGGGAACCCTCCAAAGCTGGGAGGAGACCGTGGGGAAGAACATTACTTGTTTCAGATCATCAAATACATTTAAATAATAGACAAAGATAACCCAAGTATGAGCATCTACCCCCCTCCCCACGCACACACACACACACACCCAAGTTGACTCTGAATATAGCCTTCCAAAAAAATGTGGTTACTCAATGTCACTAGTTACACCCAGACCTGATTACGACCACACCAGTTGAATCAAGAAAATAAAATTGAACCTGATTTCAATATTCTCAAAAAGAAACACATTATGTCATGATCTAAAGAAACAGCTGACAATCAAAGTCACTGACATCTAACAGTCTGGAAAGGGTTAGAAAAAGAACAAAAGAAACCTACACAGCATTTCATAAAAACAACATCATAGCAACAGTCAAACATGGTGGTGGTAGTGTGATGGTCTGGAGTTGCTTTGTTGCCTCAGGACGACTTGCTGTAACTGATGGAACCACAAATTCTGCTCTCTACCAGAAAATCCTGAAGGAGGATGTCCGACCATCAGTTCATGCCCTGAAATCCTCAGTTAAAAACAGATTTGTTGTGACCACAACCCAGCTTCACATAAGTAGAATGCAATGAATGGATGGATGGATGGATGGATACAATCTCTGCTGCCTTCTTGGCCAAGTCACTTTTGAAATACAGGTTTTTAATCTCACTGAGGCTTCTATCTGGACTTTTTAAACTCCACTTCTAGTCTAGTTATGAGCACTCTTGGTTGAAAATACTATCAGACTACAGTGCGAGAAAAGAAAGAGTGATATATTTAAGTCAGAAACAGAAGTTGCTTCAGTAGTCTGACTCGTCTGAAAAGTCTCCCTGCTGCGTCCAGTGGAATCCCTTCTTCTTCCTCCTCCTCCTCTTTCTCTCACCCATCAGCATGGCAGCCAGCAGGGTGATGATGACGGTGATGGTTATGATGAGCACAGTGACGGTCTCAGCAATGCACAGCTCATCATCCACGTTTATCAGAAGGTAGCCCTGGAGGTCAGGTGGCGAACTGCATGTCAGGTTGTAGTAGTCATCCAGGAAGAGCCGCTGGATGCTGCGCAGCTTCCGGAAAACTCTCTGCAGGTCACAGTCGCAGTTCCAGGGGTTCCCCTCCAGCAGGAGGTGGGTGCTGTAGGTGTGGATGCTCAGGAAAGTCTTGAAGCAGATGGTGGTCAGCTGGTTCTTGGCAATGTTGAGTAACGTCAAGCTGGCAAGTGGCTTGAAGACACCAGTCTCCACCTCACTGATCTGGTTTCCGGCCAGGTTGAGGACTTCGAGAGAGCGCAGCATGGAGAAAGTGCCACTCCTCAGAGACGTCAGCTGGTTGTCCTGCAGGTGGAGCTGTCGGAGGAGGCTCATTGAGGAGAACGATCTCATCTGAATGGTCTGGATGCTGTTGTTGGTCAGGTTTAATCGCTGGATGCTGTCCAGGTGCCGGAAGGTCCGGCTGCCCAGGGTGGTCAGTCGGTTGTGGGACAGCTGCAGCTCCCGCAGTGAGGCTAGGCCAGTGGAGAATCCCTCAGAGAGAGTGGTGATCTGGTTCCAGCTCAGATCCAGCTTCTGGAGGAACTCCAGTTGTGAGAAGGCCCCATCCTCCACCACGCTGATGTTGTTGTTCTGCAGCAGGAGTACCCGTAGTTTGCGAGTGGTGTTGAAGGTGCGTTCGGGGATGATGGAGATCCAGTTGTCAGACAGGTCGAGGAGTTCAGTGTTGGGAGGCACTCGGCTGGGGAGCCGTGTGAAGGAAGCCCTTGAGCATATGGTGAACTTGAGGTCTCCACGACAGTCACAGCCCTTCTCACACCCAGAGCTGTGAGACCTGCAGGATGCCTCCGTCACCAGCAGGAGGAGCAAAACCAGCTTCATGATGGCTCTCTGAAACAACAAGGAAGGATTTTACCACTCAGTGACCTCTTTCAGGACTGTGACATGGATACGCAAATCTCATACTGTCCAGGAAATATATATAGATTTAGTTTGAAGATTTGTGATTGTAGTGATTAGAAGAGGAAAAAAATGAAGCATTATGTTTCAACTATGTTTTCAACTTTTTACATTTTGAACAAAGAGTAACCCTTTAAACTCTTTTGACTATTTTTCTTTGCAGAATTGGTAGGGTTCATTTAAATTGGTTGGTTTCCAGTCACGGTCCTGGCTTTTATGCATCATCCGCTTTGGCTTAGGCAAGGCCAGTCCAGAAGTTTAATGTGAGGCTGCTTTATCCATACCAAAACCAGTTTTGATGTTTGTTTGGTATCATAGTCATGTTAGAACACCCAACTGTGTCCAAGTTTTAACTGTCAGGCTGTTGATTTGAGGTGAAGTTGAAGAATTTGGAGCTAGTCCTCCTCTATTATATTATTATTATATTATTCCATGAAATTTGTTCAGCTTACATTGTACCAGTACCACTGATAGCAAAACAACCCCAGAGCATGATGATATCACCACCATGCTTGACAGCTGGTATAGTGTTCCCAGATTTGAAAGTCTCACCTTTACTCCTCCAAACATACTTGTGGTCAATGTGGCCTACATCAGCGGGCGTTTGGTACTGGACCGTGAGAGTTGAGATGTGAAATTTATGGTTTTTAGGGTTTTTATCGTTAACTCAGTTTCCCTGGGTCTTTTCCAGTGTTGTAGTTGTGTGGCTTATTTTGAAAGAAATTAGGCATTACCATAGCGACCAGAGAGCATTAAGGGGCAGAGAGGAGGAGGTTACTCTCAGTGTTGTCGGCACTGCTAATAAAGTTACACAATTACACAGTGAATTCGCGTTTATTATTAAATGTACAAAAAATCACAGTTTTTGTCTTGGTCGTATCATTTTATTTTGTTGTATTTATCCGCAACACCTTAAAGGCCGGTCCGTGAAAATACTGTCTGACATTATACTGGTCCGTGGTGCAAAAAAGGTTGGGGACCGCTGGCCTAAATAGCTCAATCTTTGTCTCGTCTGACCATAAAGCTTTAGGTGAGTGTATGTACATATTTGAGCCTGTGTGGATTAGAGGAAATCCAATATAAATTCAAACTTGTGCAGCCAATTCTTGTTTTTTAAAGTTATTAAAAATGTATCCTGTACAATCATTCCCCGCCTGAAAAAGACAGTTCAAAGAAATCATTATAATACCAAAATTACAGTTACATTCTTGCCCATAAGGAGCAGATGTAAATTTCTGACTACAGCTGTATATTTCTGTGTTTCTGACGAATCGACATTTTTAGAGAAAAACAACCAAACAAACAGATAGCTGGAGATCTCTACCTATAAATGCTGTTGCCTTCATTTGTTCTTGAATGTACAGTGAGTTAGACCTGAATCTTCTTTGTTTTTATAAAAGTTGTAAATGCTGACTAAAACAACTGTGGGAAAAAAATAATCCTTTTTTTTTTTCATCAGGAGCTCCTAAACCAATCTTGTGACCCTGTGTGGGAGCTCGACTTCAAAGCATAAATCCACTAATCTACAAATGACAGCTTTCAGCAGGACTTCTTTACAGCGCTGAGAATTTAAAATTTTCATAAAGACATATGCAGTACTATCTGTGATGAGATAAATGAGAAATCCAGCCTAAAAGGCTAAGAGAGAGATCCACTGTACCTTGATGACACTGCAAACTTTTTAAAGGTGAATTTTTAGATTTTCTCATTTAAATTCATTCAAACTCATTTAAATATCCTCCAATCTGATCTATGGGTCAGGGAAAATATTCCTTTATTGTAAAAAACAGCAGTCAGATTTAACTAATCATCCATTTACAAAACAGATGTTTAAAAATCTGAGATTTCCCCCCCACATTCAATCACAGCTCTGCCATTCAACCAGGGCTGTTTAAATGAACATCCATTTAAACACCACTGGGTGTTAAAACCAAATCAGACAACTCTAACAGAAACAACAAAAACCCTTTACTAACTGTCCAAATAGACAGACCACCTTTGCCATAAAGAGGTTGCGCAGGAGTAACAACGATGGGGGAAAGGAGATCACGAGGCAACACATGGGGAAAAAACATGAACATTTACAGGCGACAAAGAGGAGGACAGGACTATTTATACACCGAGGGCTGATTGAGGAATCACTCAGACAAAAGAAGTAAATATAGCACAGGTTCCAAAAAACTCTAACCCTCAAAGTAAAACAGGAACTAGTCAGAGACAAAAAGAGTTGCATCAACTATGAAGACATACACAAGAGGACTGGAGGACAAAGGCATCAAGCGTATGAGACACAAGAAGAAAAAGGTCAACTTTATACACAGTTAGAACTTCACTAATACAGAAAGTAATGCTCAGTAAAACCTAAACTGAAACGCAGACTCACTTAAAAAAAAAAACCTGAGTTATGCCCCACTCTCATTAGTCTGCAAAGCCAGATTGGGTCGCGCCTGGGCTAATCTGTCACATTGCGTCAGAGATCATTTAAATAAGAGCAGCTCTACAGAGTTAAAGAGATGCTGTAATTACACATTTTAGAAGGTTTAGTTATACTGAAGCTATTTTTTTTATTATTTAATAATGCATACTGGACGTCTGAAGCCTAAGAGGTTTTTATCTTTTAAAATGTTCAGTAGTTTTGATTTAATTTAATTCTTAATATATTTTTTCACTTTTGCTTTTTGGTTGCAGTGCTATATATTATTTTGCATGTCATTTTTCCTAATATTACAACACTTTTTGTAATTAAAAATATAATGAGAGAAAAAATAAATAACTAAAAAGTTGCTGATTAGTTCTGGAGAAATTTTGCAGTAAAAACACAATTTTTAAGTGAGCTTCTGCCCCTAGTGGGTAAAAAGGCACTGCACGTGGACCTTTGGAAGTAATTAAAAGTTAGTATATTTAAAAAAATCTAGTTTAACAAATCCACTGGATATAACAGGAATCTCTTGGTTTTCTGACATATTTTCACTATTTTCCTGAACTTGTGTTGCAGTATTTGAATGAGAAATAGGTGCAGTGATTCATTTAGTCTTCGGACAGGGTTCTCCATTTTTACAAGATGTTCAAGATATCAGCTTTTTCTCCCTGTTTCCCTCCTTAAGCATGGCTTCCTTCCACTAACACCATTTCTGAGGCTTCAGTGAACAGTAGATGAAGGTCCAGGTGCATCTCTCAGGTCCTGCTTGTTTTGTATGTCTCAAGGACAAGACTTTCAGATACTGTAGATAGTTTTCTTTAGACTGAGACTTGTTCTTTTGTTATCCACTTTTGCAGTTTCCTCAAATCTTTTAAGGTCAGACTGCACACCATGCAAGTTTTCAGCTAAAAGCTCTCTGAGAATCACCTTCTGTCAAAATTCAATTAAAGAAATGGGAAAAAATTATGTTTTTAACAAACAAATAAAAAAAACATTCCTCCAATAACGGTCAGTTACAAGGACTGAAGTAAAAGTGAATGAAAAAACATCCAATGTACAACATAAAACTGTAAAAACTATCAGAGAACTATTGATCAAGACCACTTCAAAAAATGACAACAAAGTCTGGCTGCTTGGAAGCAAAATGCAAAGACATGACAAGCTGTGGCCGTCGGGAGGCTAAAGTGAAGCTGTTGATGGAGAATCACCATAATTAAACTAACTGACAAAAATATTTATCATTAAAAAAAAACATGGAAAACTATTTTTCATCTTTGCCTGATGTGATGATCAGAGTTGTGATTAAAGGATTTTGGGAGTTTTCCCAGAAAGATTTCCAGGAAATAGGCTGCTGACTGTGGAACTGAAAACTATTCAAACATCTGCCTGCAGGTGCAAAACACAGAGTAAAAAACAACAAAAGTCCTTTTGTGCAAACTGTCAGACTTTGTAAAGCCATCAGGGGGCCGGACTGATTCGTCATAATTTAGTAAAAGCTGCAGCGTCTCTGCACTACTCCTCTGAAATGGACAAACGTGAATTCAGACGTCATGTCAAAAGTAGTCTGATAGATTTTAATAACAACAGAATTTGAACATAAATCCTATAGAATAGCGCACCGAGAGGTTTAACAGCATGTTATAATACCAGAGAAGCATCACTGCTCTCCTGTGTCACCAAACTGATTTTGTTGATAAAAACAAAAAAACTAATAATCATCTATTCATTAAAAAAAAGGAGTTTATTGATTACAGATCTGGGAATGAATAAAGTTCATCTGAGTATAGAAAACTGGGTGCAGCGAGAAAGCAAAATCACATACATGACTCGAGCACTCTCACAGTTTTAAAAAAGGGTCCCCATCAGGGCGACGGCAGTAAAAACATCCTTTAAATGAAACGAATGCTCAGCAGACTCATTCACTATGTTGTCCTCTAATAAAATTATACCTGAACATGAGAAATAAGAAGAATGAGGAGCAGATGCAGCCTGTGAGATAAAAACCTCCAAAAAGTCTGTGTTGTCTGACCGTAACAGAACGGTTTCATCTTACCAGCAGCTGCTGCTCCTGCCTGCCCCTCCGTCCGTCTGTCTACCTGCTGACAGTCGTCAACATCCAGCCAGCAGCAGGTGGAGAGTGGACGTGATGGAGCAGAGGGAGGGGCGGGTCTTCACGGTCTGGAGAACCCGGCGAGCGACAACACAAAGACAGAGTGATGGAAAGAAACACAGAGAGGGAGGGAGAGGAGGCAGGACTCGTCAATTATTCACCACGCAGCGCTGTTGGTGTGCTGTTGGTGTGTGGTGTGGTGTGGGTGTGGGTTAGGAGATGGGAGCTTTAAGAGATTGAAGCCAAACTGGGCCACAGAGCAGAGAATTAGGAGGTCTGGACAGATTTGATTGACCGCAGGCGCCGCTGTGTTTATCTCCCCGATGTTCCTGCATGTTTACAGCAGGGTTCGTACACACAGCTGCATTTAAGTGTGGAAAAAAATTGGATCATCAAAGAAAAAATGGAAAAAATATGTTATCAGTTGTAGTATTTATCAATATAACCACCCTGAGGAGGCGTCGGTGCATCCACATACTGACCATATACCAAATGAAAAGAAAACAACTGAAAACAAACCGAAAAGCAAAAAACTCAAAACTAAATCAATATATAAAGAATCTGTTTTCGAGATTTCGAGATCAGATGTTCCATCACAAGAAAGGGTGATTTGTGTGCTTTCATGATCAGTGTCTGCGTCTTTTTAAAAAACTGGATGCAGAGGAAATTGCAAAAACACTCTTTGCGGATTTGCTTTAATTCAGACACACTGGATGATTTTCCAGCATGAACAGCCTGTTTAAGGTCACGTCAAAGCTTCTCAATCTGGTTTAACTCCAGACTTTGACTCAGCCACTCCAAAACCTTCATTTTGTTTTTTTTGGAGCGAGTCAGAGGTCGACTCGCTGGTGTGTTTCTGATCGTTGTTCTGCTGCAGAACCCAAGTGCTCCTGAGCTTCAGAGCATGAACTGATGGTCGCACATCCTCCTTCAGGATTTTCTGGTAGAGAGCAGAATTCATGGTTCCATCAGTTACAGCAAGTCGTCCTGAAGCAGTCAGTCCACAGAACATTTTCTCTGGGTTGATTAGGTGTTCTTGGTAAATATGACACCAGCCTTTGTGATCTTTTTGGTCAGCAGTGGTTTTCTCCTTGAACTCTCCCATGGAGACTATTTTCCCCAGTCTCTGTCTTTTTGTTGAATCATGAACTTTGACCTTAACTGAGGCAAAGGAGGCCTGCAGTCCTTTACATTTTGTTTTGTGACCTCCTTGATGAGCCATCGAAGCTCTTGGAGTAATGTTAGTCCATAGCTTCACCACTGTTCCAGGTTTCTTCTTTGTGTGGATAATGTCTCTCACTGTGGTTCACTGAAGTTCCTGAGCCTTAGAAATGGCTTTGTAACCTTTTCCAGACTGATACATGTCACTGATTTTGTTTCTTAGCTGTTTCTTTAGTTCGTGGCCTGATGTGTTGGTGTTTGAGATCTTTTATCCTGCTTTACTTTGTGAGACAAGCTATTTTTTGGCTTGGGGGTTTCTTTGTCTAATTTTAACATATGTTGATGGGTTGAAATATGCACGCTTGATAAATATGCAAAAAAAAACCCCAACTAAACTAAGAAATGAGAAAAGGGGGAAATACTTTTCCATTCCACTTTATTCACAGTTCACTATAATTTATATACAACGACTCAGCAAGTTCACTTCAATAATAACCAGAACTCTGCAAAGAGCAGTGCAAACTATCAGCCCCAAACCCAGCAGACCCAATGACGCAGAGAGTGATTTAACCCAGTGAACAAAAACAATACAATTTGAGCTCAGGTTTCTCTCTGAAAACAGTAATTCAGGTCAATGAGACAAGGACGAAGGAGCATCAGTGTGTTTTGGTATGAGCGATAACGCCCTCAGGACTCCCATGATGTCCTGAGGACTGAGACTCAGGTGGAGCAGGAAAAGAGCTGGTTTTATTTTCATTTAAAAGCCAAACAGAGTTTGATGTGGTGTGCATTAACCTCTATCTTGTTAGCTTTTAATCTGCACAGAGCACCAGTTTGGGGATTTTAAGAAGTTTTATGTAACTTGATAGATTCACCAGAGGTTGAAACTTCGGAGATGATCGTCTGTTCTCGATGTTATCAAGGTGGATCACGTTTTAAGCTGCGGAGTAGATTATGTTCCAAATGAGACATAATCATGTACCACTCCACCACCTAGTGACCAATCAGATCTGTGTAAAACAGCGGCACCGTTCCTCAAAGTGCCCTCAAACTTCAGAGTCCAGAAACGATCACATCAAAAATCTCTGTAAAACTTTACTCCCATTTGTTTCCTTCTGAATAAAAACCCAGAATCTTTACCAAGAATCTTACTTGATGATCTTATTTAAATATTCCAGGTATTATTGTTCATAATGAATACAATAAAATCAACAAATACACTTTTTTTCATTCATATATTTATGAAAATACAACAACGACTACGTCTGTGATCACTGTTAAATCTCCTCTATATCTAATTCTGCTATCAGTACTTCCTCTGTTCCCAGTACACAGTACTACCAGTACCAACACTCCTTTCACCTATATTGAATTTACTTTCACTTCCTCCTTGTCTCACAAATGTGTCCAGCTGATTGGGTGTCTGTGTTAACAGCTGTCAGACTATCATGGAGCCGGAGGATTACAGTAAAACAGAAACCCTGACAGTGGAAGATGAAGATAATCCCTGAGGAGGAGGATTAGCTTTATATTCTTCCCCTGCTGTTGCAGAGAGGAACATTAAAGTCGCTCTTTATTTCACTAACCAATTTAGTTTGATTATCAGTATTTTTCCCGAGCTGCTGTGCTCATTTTTCCTTATTCTCTCTTCTTTTGGTAAATTGCTTTCAAACGGTGTTACAGCCATAATTTCTTTACACTGTATTCATTATCTGCATCAGAAGCTGTAAGTGAAACACGCTGTGATATTTACTGAAGGCTGTGAGCAGATCTGGTGTAGTTTCTGCTGCTGGCCACCAGAGGGCGAAGCAGGTCTGTTAGAAAAGGATGAGACCGCAGGCGGAGCAGCAGCACGAGTAGTAATGGTTCTCAAAATGTGGCTTTTACGTCAATAAAACTAAAATTGGATCCTTTTTAAATTTTTAATGATAATTTTATTGATCATGATGAAAACTGTGGGCTGGTGGGAGTGAACGTTTTTGGCTTTGAGTTTGGTTTAGATCAAGCATCAGCCTCTGGGGATGAAAAATTAAAAGAAGCTGACAGAGGTTGCAGTTCCACTAATCACCACCTGGGGTTCGTTAGTAAACAAACATTTTTACAGCCCAATGTGAACATTTGTTTTGGCCTCTATTGATAGCTTTACTGAAACTCTTTCTTACTTAGGACCGATTAGCATATATGTGTACTTGCATGATCTTCTCATTTACTTGAAGGATGTGGCTTCCTTGGATAACTCTGTGTTCAATCGTCTTGTCCAAGTGTGATAATGTCCAGCTCCAAGAAAACCAACCTGATGGTGTTCAAATCTGATCTTTTATACAAAGAGCGGTCAGCTGACATCATGTGCACTAAGAAAACCTACTGGAGCTCATATTAGAAATTATTGTGAGTTATGATTCTTTTCCCTGAGCTGAGCCTGTATTTCATCCACCTGATGAATCCCACTGTAACCCCTGACTGAACGCTATTTACCTTTTATGTGTGGAGGTAAGGTCACCCTCTACAATATAGGCAGCAGAAAATAGTTATTTTTTTTAATTCACTTTCGCTGCTTATGTCCTACATAACAGGTCAAACCGAGTTAGAATTTAAAGTTGAAATAAATTTATCCTCATTTATTAATATTACTTTATTATTATATTAATGCAGCACAAGGTTCAGTTAACTTAACAAAAAGTTATTAGACTACTTTTTACTTTCTTACTTTGAGGACATTTCAGAGCCTGTACTTTTTCACCTTTACTCGAATAAAAATATTTGCTTGAGTATTTTTTGACACAGGTATCTGTACTTCTATTTAAATAAAGAAAGTCTCTAATTTTAGCCACCTCTGGCTGGGAATGGGAGTCGTAGCACAAATATGGCAGCCTCAGCAATGAATCAAGTCTGTTTTAGTTGATGCCTAAGAAGACTAAAACCAAACAGCTTCAAACACCAAACCAGCGTTCTTAATGTCCTCAGCCTGCAGCACATGATGAACCTGAATGATGAGTTCACCAAAGCAGAACAAAGACTGCTGCTGGAACCTGTCCTCTGAGGCGGTGCCATCGTCCACCTGTGAGACGAGGTGAGTACTTATTAATCCTTTTAAAAACGCCTGCTTCCAGCTGTGGAAAGAGGCGCTAGATGAAATTAGAGGGCTTCACACACTCAGTATAGACGCACAGGACAGGACCATCACTCGTCGCTCTTATTGTCAAAACACTAACATGCAGGTGTGTGTGTGTGTGTGTGTGTGTGTGTGTGTGTGTGTGTGTGTGTGTTGCACTGAGGTGCCAACAGCTCCGACAATGGCAGAGTGACGTGGCGGCCTGTTCACGCCCCTCCTCAGATCCGCCGTGGCAGCTCTGACTGGGTGACAGGAAGAGACTCGGAGAGGTTGTGGAGGTCAGGAAAACACGGGGTGTGCCGGCGGGAACAGATTGTCCCTGCCGCTGTCAAGTCTTCAATCAGGTCCTCTGATTGAAACACAGCGAGTGGACGCCCAGGGAAGTGATGACGAATGTCTTTATTTATTAAATACAAGTGACTGTTAATTACTGCTGTCCCCCTAACTAGTAGGCTGAGTAAGGGCGTGAAGAAGACAGGGTGTTACGTGGAGTTAAAGTAAATAAATAAATATAAAAATAAAAAAAATTAAATGAAAAACACAAATTAATCATAATAAATGCTAATGAAATAAAAGGTGTAAGAATAAAAATAAATAAATTAACTAAAAATTGAAATTGTGGGACGAGAGGAAGAAATAAAGTAATTCTAACTAATGATCAGAAAGAGCAATATTAACAGTAATGAAAGAATTGATGTTTAAAAAGATACATGTAAATGGGTGATGGAAATAAAAGATAAAAAATAATCAATAATAATGACAATATAATGTAAATAAATACAAATATAAAAACAATAAATAAATAAATAGCAGAATAAATAGTGAAATTTGT